TGAAAAATTTAGTAAATTTGCGAATATTTTCTCTATTTTAAGACACCGTCGATTATAAGACCTTTGACTTTGTACTAAGTTTAGAGGGGGAGAAACTTACATTACAATAAAGTGTTATTATTCAAGTATTCAAACATACGTAAATCTTCTTTACATTAACATTTTCAGGATCTTCTTTGTTGCTGTCAATGTATTTACTCTCCCATGACTACTGTTAAGGGCATGAATATTTTCCTTGCACTTAAGTCATACAAGTTAAAACATCGATATCGAATTTTCGACGCCATGAAATTTTAGAAGCGCCTAGATTTAAAAAAAATTTAAACGTAAAAATTTTGTCTTAAAATCGAGCAAATGCGGTATTCTTTATCCTTCTCTTTTCGGCGATAAACTCAACTGCCTTTACTCCGGGTCTAGGCAAATAATGTGTTATAGATGTAACACCTATTAAACACAATTAGGCAACGTATTTAACCCTTCCAAACGCAGTGGTAAGTGTGTGTCCCGCCTGCTTTAATACTAAACAAAGTTTGCAGCAAACATTTACTGAACTACTGCTCTTCTCGGTTCAAGCAGCGATTATTTCCTTAAACAGCATCAACAGGTTGATCTCTGTAATGGTGAAGAGTCGTGTGTTTGTTTCTTTGTCCATACAAACTGAATTTTATATTTTTTAAGCTTGGAATTTAAAGGGATGAATAAAATAATTAAGTCACGTTTCGAATGAGTAGCTTTACATTTATTATGGTTTTACATATCTAATAGAAGCTTACATTTCATTATGTTACCGAAAGATAATAAGAAAGAAAAGCAGATGTATCGAAATTAGTATATAAAGGTGTTTACAAAAGAAATTCTGAAAGTGAAATAGCAAGTCTTCGACATTAAGTATCAGCAATAAAACTTTACATTCAAAGTTACATGTTTATAACATGTGGAATATCACATCGTGTTTCCTTGGTTCGTTGTGACTTTGAGCGGCTGTCTTACAAACATAAGTCAAAAGCAATTATTCTTACGATTGTAATAACAATTATTATTAAATTATAAACACACGCCTGTTTAATACTCGTGACTGACAACTGAAGTCTCTTGTGACATCTTAACCTAGCACCTCAGAGATTTGAGGTTTTCATGGCAGAGTACGATGATCATGTCCGTATGGGTTGTTACGCCGTATAGAGACGTGGGTGGTTACCAAGTTTTCGGAGAAACGGGAAAGTATTACCTTAATTTTCACGGTAGATTTTTTTTACAAAACTACACTGCGCCACAACCTAAAAGATCAGGATCGATAGTGTATATAATTATTCTTATGTCTACTATGTAACAAAAGACACACGAATAAAAAGTTTTAATTTTGTTACTAACAGTATTGTTCACAATGTCATATTCATATGAATAAATGAACGCCAATGTTATATTCACTATTATGTGTGAGACTGGTATTATTTCAAAAACAATTTAATTCGGTATTCATAAATTTTATTTTATAGAAACAAATTAATTTCATCTTTAGTATTCTATTCGAATATAATAATTGCAGTAAATTGCATAGTTTATTAACCTAAACCAGGTATTCAGGAAATATAATTTCCATATACGCTAATATATCGAATATGTTGACTATATAAAAGTGGTTTATAGACGAAAATTATAAAGACGGAAGAGGAGTTAGTGTTTAAACTTTTTCAGCAATGCGTGGCCAAGACTAGCATCGCTGCATTTAAGAGCCACCCACAATTGTGAACTCTCACAATGGTTAGTTGATACTTGTTATGGTGAGTGTGGTGTTTTCTTTATGGTAAAGATTGAATTCTTAAATATTATTTAGAAGATCTTCGGTTTCAAAGAGTTAAGCTTAAATCGTGGGAAGAACTTTTACTGGCTACTGAGCGATTATCAGTTTCTAAATAAGGATTATGTTCTGTGAAACTAATTGCTCACAATTAGTATATCATCGCAGGACTGAATATTAAGCTGAAATACATAGAAAAGGCAAACCTCACATCTGAGTGCAAACGACTATCTCTCTTAACGCGAACCCTTCTAAATTTCTCTGCATCGTGTAACTCCTCAATGTGCTGAATCCTTATGATTAGGGGAATGTATTATTTGTTCTGATTTTTTGTAAACGTTATTGGTTTGAACATATTTGAAATGCTAAACCTGTATTTAAAATATATAGTCTAATATCAGCGGCCGTGGGGTGCTATAAAAAGTTATATGGGGATTAGCAGGGCATCAACACGCGTTTATTGATTCTGTTTTCCTGAATGTGTTCTCTTTCGGAAAATTGAGATTACGATTTTCTAACATATTCTTAACGCACTCAGAAACGTCTGACTTGCCTTTCAGAAGCACAGTTATTCCATATATTTTCTCGATTTTCTAGGCAAATACCGTAACATAAATAAGAAATTCAGCACTAAATAACCGCTCCCACCCTCTTAATTTTAAACTCAACTTGCATATTTACCCCTAAACTTCACTGGATGTTAATTATGCAAATATTACAGAGCTAAATATTCTATATAACTGAAAAATCTTCTCACGTAAATTATACAAAGCTGGAGTTCTTATACTTAACCTTGGACTCGTTTTAAGGTACGCATTGCATTAAACGTGCTCATAGGCATGAATTTGCGATACTTTTCGACCTAAAATAATTTTGTCGCCTTTCTTGCATGAGTAAGCCCAGTAAGTGATTTCTACGGACATTACGACCAGGGTTCGATTTCCGGAAGGGGTACTACAACCGCCATAATCGGAATTAATGCCGTAAAACTGCCGTAAAATGATGCTCACCACTCAGGTCCACCTAGTGCCGAAGATGAGAGCAAATAAAGCTCCATAATTTGTTTTTATGGAGTGAACAATAAATGGGGAGACAGTTTTGCATTTACATTTTACATTTTCTATCTAGATGGCTTTCGGAACCCCAAGGTTTATCACCGAATTAACCAAAGCCCTCCACCAGACACTCTCCTGGGCCAACACAGTCTCCTTCAACTCATATCTCCCATAGATCCCGCCTGAGATTATCCTCCCATCTACGTCTAGGTCTCCCCAGCGGTCTCTACCCCTCAGGATTACCAACCAATACCCGGTGCACACCTCTTGTCCCATCCATGCGCGCTACATGTCCCACCCATCTCATTCTTCTCGACTTAATCACCCTGACAATACTGGGCGAGGAGTACAGATTTTTAAGTTCGTCATTATGCAGTTTTCTCCATGTCCCATCGTCTTCTCTCCTAGACCCAAATATCCTCCTCAACACCCTGTTCTCAAACACCTGCAATCTGTGTTCCTCCCTCAGAGTGAGAGACCATGTTTCGCACTCATACAAAACAACAGGTAAAATTATTGTTTTGTATATTTTAAACTTCAGGTTCTTAGAAATCAGACGGGTAGACAAAATAGCTTGAACTCAGAAGTTGGAAGCATTTCCAGAATTTAGTCTACTCCTACTTGCTCGTGAATATAATTTTTATTTCTTATTGTTGTTCCCAAATATTTTAACTTTGTCACACTTTCAAGGGATTTATTAGTCACCCTAATTTGATTTCGTCCGCTTTTCTGCTGACGGGATACTAACATGTACTTAGTTTTCTTCTGAATTTACTTCTATCACTACCTTTAGAATAGCTTCTAGTAAAACTTCTGTATTCCTCTTTATTGTATTTATATCTTCACTCAATAACTTAACATCATCAGTATACGCCAATAGCTGATGTGTCCCATTCAATTACAAACCCTCCTGCCTATCTTGGACTTTCTTGATAGCGTATTCTAGCGCAAAGTTAAATAGTAATGGAGACAAACCATCTCCTTGTTTCAGACCGTTCTTGATGGAAAAATAGTCAGATAAATACCTACTTATACAAAATTTGCTACAGGTTTCATTTAATCACATATTTATTAGCTCACTAGCTTCTTTGGTATACCAAATTCAATGAGAATATTGTGTAGCACTTCTGTCTTAACATAGTCGTAGGCTTTTTCCAGATCTGTAAATAACTGATGTACGGTCCCACCGTACTCCCATGTTTTCTCTATTATCAGATGGATGCAAAATATCTGATCAACTGTTGATCTGTTACGTTTGAACCCACACTGACTATCTAGAATAAATAATTTGCATATGGAGTTAATCTCGCCAGATAAATGTTTGATAAAATTTTGAATGAGGCTGTTAGTAGCGAAATTCCTCTGCAATTACCACACTCGGTCTTTTTCCCCATCGTATGAATAGGAATAATTATGGATTCCCTTTGTCAATTAATACGTTTAGAAAAGAATGATGCATTGTACATGTAAATTATTTTACGTTTCTATCGTTATATGCACATGATATGGTATTCGATAGCAGCTGAAACATGTAACGAAACATATTTAATGCTTCGTAATAAGTACTTGAGGTTTCAAAGACAGACTACTTTGAACCGATTATAAATGAAGCCACAGAATAAGACCCTCAGCTTATACAATCATGTTACCAACCCTACCAACACAGTGAGACAGAATAAAAGAGGTAACACAGGCTGTTTGAAACAAATATTTCCTATCCGATGCGATTGTTAATGAGTTTTAAATACATACTTTGGCCAATACTTAACTAAGCGTTGAAAACAAGTCTTACCGATTCTGCGAGGCCGTATTACATTGTCACCAAAAACATAGTTATATTAAAGCATTTCGTTTTAACCGATTAATAATACATTATAATCACTCACCGGCGCTTTGTCGATCATTCCTATGAACATTACGGGGCCTAACAATAGGGCAAAACACAATGTTTTATGAAACATTTTCCATTGAATAGTTTAATTGGGAATAATAAATTGACCTCAGCCGATACTTACCGAGCATTTCCGATCAGTTCTGCAAAACACTGTGAGACTAAAGACAAGATCCCAAAATGCTCTATTAAAAATTATTTTCTTGGAACTGATAAGTAGATTAGCAAAAGTGAAAGGCTCTGGGCTGATACTTACCAACGCGTTGCCGATAAGTCCTACCAACACTATGAGGCCAAACAGCAGGGGAACCACAATCGCAACTGTCTTCTGTATGAGCTGCAGTGACTGCTGATGTGGTTCGTCAGTGACAGTCTCATTGACGCAGAAAGCCAAGCTTAAGTTGCTGGTCGTGTTCAGGCAGCTTCTGTAGCGAAGAGCTGGTATTCCCGCCACTGGTGGTGGATGGATTGTTGTATCGTCAGCCATCTTCAGGAAGTAATTAGGTCATCAGGACTTTGTGTTACTTGACTAACACACTTTCATTACGCAGGCATACACAATAAACACGGGGAACCGAAACGGCGGCGGTACAAGCGACAGCCTATAGTGTCCTGTATGTAATACTGGAGGAAATTCGAAGTCACGATACACAAGCATAGGAAACAATCTTTTGCCACTCGACATGTAGTCGATTACTGCAGCAATTACGTATTTCTGTCCGTAATCCGCTCACAAATCAGATCACCAGTTGTTTCACCTCTTTCTTGGTTTACTAATATGACAGAAACAATTTTATAGCTTATATTTCATGTGATGTATTATGAAACGTGTCATCACTCTTCTGATATATTTATTATAATATTCACAAATTTCAGGATGAACAATTTCTGAAGCTTAATGAGGTTGTCCACTTTTCGTCCGACACTTGAATAAGGTTTCTGTAATTAACGTCATTATAGTAAACTTTCTCTTTTTCTGTTATTTTATAAAACGAATTTCTAATAGGAAAACAAATCCGTTGCACACAAATTATTTGCTCAAAATAAAAAATACAATAACATTAAAGTAAGACACATTTAAAAACATGTAGTTGTTAATAAAATGTGTGAATAATATGACACTTGAAAAGAAGTGTCCTTAGCTATTAGCAGCAAGCAAAGTAAACAAACAATGTAAATACAAAATGTACTTGAAGATAAAATTTTAAGACTCTGTAGCTGTGTCTTAAGCCTCGCGTTTCTTTCACATTTGATTCCTCAGTATTGCAGTTATAATGACAAAATTTTTTTTTTTTAGAAATGATATAGGGAAATTGATCATATTAAATTTCAGTAGTCAGATACTTAATTTATTAATTGAATTTAATTTTCTGGGAATACCTGAATAAAAGTTTTATATTAGTATGAAATTGGGATTAAATATGACATTATATTGGCACTAAAATTTGAGTATTTTCTCTCAGATTACCTGTAGGTTATTTGCGTGAAACAGCGAATTAATACGTTGTTATTTGTATGGCATTAGCTTTAGAAAAGAACGACATGTGTTGACATATAGTCTTCTGATTTAGTAGAGAATGGAATTCTATTAACGCTATTAAAATTGAGGCTGCAGTCCACAGAGTCCTGAGGGTTAGCTGGAATTTAGCTATGAGTTATGGTATGCAGATATTAGTATCTGATGAACTATTTCTCTTGCAAACTAAGGTTTACGCTGTTAGGTATTTTAACAACACTCAGTACAGAAGTTTCTATACAATTTATGAAAATATATTTTAAATAGCATAATTTAATTTTGATTGGAAATTGTTACGCTACAGTTCTGTTCTGCCTTACAGCAGAATCTGGAATTCCCTCATGAGGAAAGTACACAAAATTAGAAACAAAGTATTGTGAAATAGCGACTCATGATCCCCAGCCGAGAATTATCAGTACAAATATATGTTCTTATTTAAATTTCGCTATTGCATTAATACAATCTTCACTTCATGCAAGTTCACAATATCTTAACCTCAGTGTCTCTACCTAATAGTAGTAGATCTCATGACAGCCTAATGAACAATCTCTTTTAAGAGGCATTGAGATCTATCTCACCAACAGGTGCATACACTTAGTTCACTAATTCATTACGTCTCTTGCACGAGTATAGTGCTCTGTTAACTTCCTTCTTGCTTGTTAAGATAAAATTATGGTTTAAGTCTCTACTAGACTCCTGAAGTTTCGGAGTTAATAAGTAATTTACTTTCAGAACCCTCTGATTTATTTTTGGTACCTTAATGATTTGTCAGTGAAACATGAATTAAATATTCTCTAGATTTATAATTTATAAATTTATAAGAATATATTAGATTAATGAGCTGAAGAAGTTGGCTGCCATCGTGAAAGGTACAATTTCTATAACTGTCTAGGGAAGTTATGTGTGTTATGAAGTTCACTCACCAACGTTATCTCAGCCAGCTGTTGGTTGTTAGTCCAATTACAGCTACAAATCTCTCATCTATTAGATAATTTTATATTACTTTACCGACAGATTTATTAATTAAACTCTTGGCGGCACTCGTTGCTAAAAGATAATATTATCACTGCTCTTGCTAAATAAGATGTTTTATATAAAGTGTCCTAACATAAACATTCTTATGCAAATACGATAGTTGAATGTTTTCAACTGTTTGTTTGCACTTTAGAGAGTTCAAAAATATTTCAAGCGTCAGAAACCTTTGAGAATACGTAATTTACTTCGAGAATTAAGAAGTTAAAGAATGTGGCTAACACGAAAACCACACGCAAAAATTTAAAAATAATATTGATTGAAACTAATACACTGGAAGCAAGAAAACACAAACTATTATATATATTTTAGAAGCTGTTGAACATTCTCATATACAAATTCCAAATGATTCTCATGGAAGAAACATATTTGACTTTATTAAAGTTTGATATTTCTGAAATTGATTTACAATCTTCATGGCAGAATTTAAACGATTGTAATACCGTAGGAAATGTTCAGATATGTTTCACTGAAAAAATGGAACTTTTAAAGATGTCGTCTATTTAACTACAAATTTTCGATAAATGAATGTGGTCATTACTTGCATAGATTTTTTTCTGACGCACCTTACTTTCACCGAGCAGAAGACTTTATCAGTCTGATGAAAGGTAAGGAAAACAGAAAAGATACTGAATAAGAACTTCGGTCGCACGAGATGATTACTGCTTTGTGATACGTCTTTTTGAAGAAAATAAGAAATAACATTCACTCTGTGTCTAGATCTCAGAAAGTTGAATATTTAATTTGCACTTTTATAACTGTTCAGCCCAATAAAATGTAGATATTATATGGAATTGGTATTGTGGTGTAACATTTGCAGACAGGTACAAAGATATTTTCGTGTTGCCCTGAGTCACAGTTGTAGCTACACGAAATTGCGTGATGTAACTTTCAATAAAAAATTCTAGTTTAGTCCTGCTTTCAGTAGTCGCTCTTCCAATATGAGTGGGATATAAGTTACAGTCTAATTCATTACTACAAGCATTTGTTGCTTACGAAAGAAATTTAATTACACTCGTACTTGATAAATTTTCCACAGAACGCGTGAGTATTTACGTGTTGATATTGAAGGTAACTTGTTCAGTCATAGTAAATTCAATTAATTGTAAATCGTTTCCTTCACACTTCATGGCACATATGAGTAATAATATTCTGTTGCCTTCTGCACCACCCGAAAACATAAAGTTTATGGTGTTTTCTAGTATGCTGTTCCATTCTTCCGTTTGAGTTTGATCCTGCACATTCCTCTTGTCTGTCCACTTCACAAAATAGCAAAAAGTCACAACTTTATGTAAACGTATGTGGAAGGACGAAAAATGGTTTCAGTGAAGCATAACTTATGTCATGCTGTGTTCCATTCTGTTGATTTTCAGTTTATTTAGTTATAGTTCAATTATAACTTAACTGAAGAAAAAGAAATTGGTGCACTGAAGGAGAAAAAGCTAAATAATCGCTGAGATTAAAATTAATACTTTATATATATATATATGATTCTTCAATTTTAAACGTCCATTAATCTAACCTTCCATGAATTATTACAACCTTATCTGAAAAGTTCAATGTTGCTCAAGCTCTTCATTTAAACCTGTACTTGTGTGTCATTGTAAACATTACCACTATCTATGAATCTAATTTCAAACTATTTAAGATTTATTGTAAGCAAATATGTTTCCAAAATGTTTTAACAAGTTTCAATATACTAGCACAACAGCGTCAATATAATTGGAATTTCTGTTTATAACTTCTCATTGATCAGTATTAAATAACATATCCGTTCTCCTCACCTTGCAGACAAATTCCGCTCACTAAATGCCGACTCGCTGTTGATTACACATTTTTCGCAACGAAACGACGCGACTTAACTAGACTCTGCCACATCACTGCAGTATGTGATCTACTCACGTAACCCAGGCGACGGCGACTGACTGACTGGAGCAGCGTGACGCGCGAGGAACGAGACGCCGGCGTCGGTGGAGGAGGAAAAGCGACGACGCAAGAGTTCTCACATTGCTTATTGAATGGATAAAGAGGGCTCTGATTTGTTTCAGTACGTCATGTTTAATTTTTCTTCTATTCTTCCTTAATAAATTAGGACATCCAATTCCAATCTCTCGTTTTCCCTTCATCGTTTTCAGAGGCGCCCTCCAGGGTGGCGTCCCTTTGGTCGGTATTCTAGGACTTGTTTCGGAATTCATTTCCCCCGGCACTCTTTCTATGTGTATTTTACATTTTTCTCTATATTTTATTTTTGTTTAGTTTTAAAATCAACAAAATTTAAACTTCATACCTGCGCTTAGTGTGCAATATAATTACTTTCAGTCGCTGTTTCAAATGAAATATATTACGTGCTGTACAGTAGTAAATAACACAATTATACGTTAAAATGTTTTCATAAACATTATTCCTTCCCACACTATTTAAAATCACACGTGATATTCCCCAAGTTCGGACTTTTATATATTAATTCGTAAAACATTGTAGTAAATACGATGTCTGGTGTGCAAATGAAAGCTATAATCTCTATTGCATGTATAATTGTTATTCAACATGCCTGGTCCCGATCTTCTATTATTTTTGTCAGTTTAAACGAATATCGAATAAGGTCGCCGAAAACACGAAATTATTTGTTTTTAGATAGAGACTTTCTAGATTATGTAAGTTATATGATATTTTATTTCATGCAACGTACGCGTAAATAATTATATGGCCTTTTCTAATTTATTTGACGTAGGGTATGTAAGGACAATATTGATTCTCCAAAGCCAACCACTGGTTCACAATATAAATATTAATGCATGTAATGCTTATAACACCATTATATGAGGCCAAATATGGTCTTCATCGTAGTAATCGATGCAAATATGTTTACAGATAAGTGATAAGGGTTATAAGGAAACAGTGATAACAGCCGAGTAGATCGCTTTATTATTATTATTATTATTATTATTATTATTTTATATTCTCTCTAACAGATATAATTTTGAAACTGAAACAGAGGAGAATCTTATCTAGTATTGTGTGAAATTTATAAATCACTCTTTGCATAGCCAAAAGTGGGTGTTACGAAGCTGAAGGATAACAATCAAATAACTTTCCAGAATATGAGTCGCACAGCAACAGATTTCTATGATTTTAAATGCTGTTTGTTTTACAGGCAGTAATTTTCGGAAGGAGTAATGGACGTTTGAGTTTATGAGATATCAATTTCTACGTGCTTCTAGATATAGTGCAATTATAGTAATTCTGTGACCTTTCTGTGTTCGCGAGCAATATTCTAAATAAGAATTTATTTTAAGCAACTAGTATCATATAATTAGCATATAAACTTATTAATTAATCTGAAACCTACCGCCAAAATTTTTAAAAAGCAGAATGTTGCATAAGCTATGCATCACAAGTTATTCACATATAATGAAATATAACAGTACATATTTTAATTACAACGAACGAGCTTACCTGAATACATAGTAAAATCCATTCACAGATTGAATATTTCTTGCCTATTTTACAACCCATGTAATTAATAATAAACCATTCGCAATCTACATTGTGATAACAGAAAAATGAAATATGTAATATGAATAATGAATTACTCTCGGGCTGCTAGCAGTGACATGTGGTTCAATGGAGAAGACACTAAACATTTACATTAATATTTTCACTCTCATGTACAATTGAACTTATATTTTAATGAATTACGTTGATGTAGCAGTTGAAAACTATAAAAGTTGGATCCAACTCACCATTTGTAGAAATTCACATAGAATGTAGTACTCTAGAGTATATTACGTAACCACCTGATGATGGCCTTCTAATGCCGAAATATGTAGTGGTTGAAAATTACTGTCTTCTGGGTTGTTGCGCCGTGTAGTCTGGTAGTTAACCAGACTACACGGCGCAACAACTCAGAAGACCCCAATCTCAAGATTCACCGCCGTGAAAACCTTAAATCCTACATATGGAGTGGAGTCTGTTCTCTTGAATCATCTTTTTTATATTCAGGTGGTCCATAAAATGCTGTTGCCCATGCACCACTCATGAAATTCGTTCCTCTCAGGTACGAAGTTCCAACTGTCTACAACATCGTCATTTAACGAAGTGATCAATATACAAAGAAACAGTAGAATCGGCATGTTTAATTTATGCTCACGTACGCTTCCTCTATGAAGGATATTTCTTCAGCGTGGTGTCTTAAGAGATCCCGTTGCTAAGTGTCGGAAGATAATCCTACATCATCATCCTAAATTAACACTCCTTATGAAGGAGACGGTTTCCTTGCACGGAACCAGTGTGTAGTCTGCTTTCTTACTAAATGAACCACAGTGTCTTAAAATATAGTACAATAAAGAAACATACTGCGCAGATATAAACTGGATCGAACTTTCCGGAGAATAAACCCACTGACAGGCGCCTGTGGTCATGTTAATAAACATTCAAAGTCCACAACTGCGAGTTTATTTTAAAACAATATTTAAACTAGTGTTGTTTGACCATGCGAGACCCCTGTAACACCACCTCCGCTCCTCTGCTTTGGGTTGTTTTCGTTGTTCGTTCTTTGCTTTCACCACTGAGGTGATAAGATTATGTGAAGAAATCAATTTACGTGCAGGTGGTGTAGTTATTTGGAGGGAGCTGTCAATTCTGTAATCAGTGCAAAGGATTAGAATTGTTGGCCTTCGCTGATAAAATCTCTCGAAGTTAGGATTACCGCACTAATAACATTTTGAAATTAACTGTGGTCATATTGCTAGACATGAAGTGCAGGAACCGTCTGTTGATAAGCGTGTTTGTCGTTCTACATTCGCAAAAGCCATTATATTAATCCGGAGGATGTGATAAAAACGGCCTGGTGGTGTAAAGTATGAAGTACATTTAATGGCCTGCATTAATTTGGTCTACGTTATTACCTTTTTAGTGAATGTCGTAGGGGCATCTGTATGAACACATCTGCGCTTCTGGAAAATCAAAATGATAACAGATTCGTTCTTACAAGGAAGTAAATTTCAGAATATATATTTGGAGGAAAAGATCTTTCTTTTATTTGTCTCTTGTTCTTTCCTTCCTTTGGAATTGTGAGTGGCTTTGAATATATGTGTGAACCGGGAACATTTAAATACAAATCAGGTTCTGACTTTTATAAGTATTTTATTTCCATAATCACTACAATAACTCAGGGGTAGTTACAATAAAATCAGCCTTTACTTTAATAAGATAATTACAGTCCCTCCGACTGAAAGAAATTTTCATATTTTACTATCACTTCGAACCTAAAATTTGTTGTAAATAATTCATCCAGCTCCAAGGATTTTAGTAAAACACATTGGCAGCATTTGACACTCTCTTAGCAGTCCTTCCACTTTTGTTTTACCACTGGCAGTACCATTCTGTCATATCAGTTATCGCTACACAATAGTTGTAGCTGATATAAAATCGTTAAATATGTTACGGTCCTACATTTATTAGAATATGATAGATAAAAAAATTTAAAAGTAAATTAAAATAAATATTAAACCCAACACGATTAAATTCATACACTGAAATGAATTGGTAACAAGTTTTAAAAAATGCATTCCGGCATTTGAAACCACATGAATCCACTACCCTCACATCACTAAATAAAGGCATGTTATGAAATATACTATATGTGTGAAACGTCAGTGTTTGGGAGGTTTATTACCAGACATTTCAAAGTCTTCTTGACGCTATAGCTAGCAGCCAATACTTGATAGAAAAATGAAAAGAAACACATAATCAAAATTTGTATTCACATTAAACCAATTCGATTAGGCTCATTAGTGTGCACGTTGAATAATATTATACATTATATTTTATTTTTATTCAGGGTGAATATCCCGTAGGAATATTTGAAAAAGTAATGCAAAATTAAATGTAAGTATTACAAAGGAATTGAATCTCACTTCCGACAGTGCACTTCTGGAGTTCACGATGTCCATTAACGATACTTTTGCGATATGACTGATACTGGAACATTCCAATTACACGCTCCAATATTTTCTTCTTCCCACCAGTACTCTTCCGAGTAGTATTCTTGCTTCTTCAATTCCAGATTTCATTTTTAATTCAGTGTCGTCAAGACAGAATCTCTCTGAGGGGTGTCCAGTAGCGGAAATAAACTCAAATGCCATTTGAGAACGTTCTTTTTTTTTTACATTGACCATGCCAACGTCTCGGTAGATTCTGCCGTTCATGATGTCTCTATTTTCCTTTCCGATGTTGATAATGCAGGACTACACTGTGATGGAAAAACACCCAAATTTTAGTAGGATTTGAGGCTTTCACAGCGGTGAGTCTGGAGATTGACATCTTCTGGGTTACTGCGCCGTGTAGTCAGGCAGATTTCCACCAATTATTCAGAGGTCATACTGCTTCCGTCATCAGGGCGATCGCAATAACCCAGTAGACAGCAATCTTCACCCAATTTTTTCTTTTACCAATCACAACTATTCAGACGAATAAACAATTTTTCGTCCGTAACGGAAATATACTCAGCATCAATTAAGGACATTTTAATTTTTTTTTTTTTAAATTTTACGTGTGAACTATCTGAATGTGTTCCGATTCCTTATTGCGTTGTTCCAGCAATCTTAACACAGTTTAATCTATTCTAGTGCTTGAATGGAAGTCACATCAATCACTTTGATGTATAACACAGTTTTACTCCATGAAACATGTAATACATCTCATCGTGATTTTCTCAAGAACGAATTCATACATCTTACTTAACATAAGTATCTCTCAAATGGAATTATTAAATTGATAAACGTTCTCAGGCCGAATTCTCTTTCAGAAGAAAGTCCTTAATAACCCATAATTGTTTCGGTCTATTACCTTTTACCATAAACTTAAGTAAAAATTTTGGTTTTAACAACAAAGACTTAAAATTCCC